TGGTACCAAGACTACAGGTGATATACCCAACCGATCGTTGAATAATTGTTACCAAAACAAATCTTAATTTTCAAAATTATTACTAGTGGGATTTGAACCCTAGACCTGCCATTTGGAGGGGTGACAACTTGCCAACTGCACTATGTCACCACACCCTTTAATTATTAATATTAAATTTTATTAATACAATAAATTAATTTAATAATATTATAGCTTAGTAGATTTAAATACCAACGCCTATCAAATGACACATTAAGTTATTATAAGCAAATTGCAATTCCAAAAAATACTCAAAAAAGTAATGAGCTTTGGATTACATGATTTAAAGAATATGTTAAAGACATACAATCTAATCTTAATATTGATCAAATTAATGATAAACATATACTCGCTGTTTTACTTTCTGAATTTGTTATTGCAATAAAGAAACGTAATAAAAATGAATATAAAGCAGATTTATTATATAATGGTATTTGTGCAATAAATAGATATTTTATTGAAAGATTTAAAGAAATAAGTCCTTTTAATTTACATGGTGATTTTGAATTTGCTTCTTTTCGTGATATTCTACATTCAAGATTGTGAGAATTAGAAGAAATTCATAATGAAATATCTCAAGGTGCAGATCCACTAAGTGATTATAAAATGAAACAAATATTTGAACATCACGAACTTAATAGAGATACACCAATTAGACTATTTCGTAGAGTTTTTTTATGAATAGGTTGTTGTGCTGCTAAATAGAGTGGATTCTATTTAGATATAATGGCATCGCATCTTAAAGAACGTCAAGATGGAGGATTTGATCTTTTAACAATTCATGATAAAACTCACAAGGGTGAATATTATCATCGTAATACTTCTGGATCTGGACATAATACACCTTCACAAATTATACCTCCAGATGAATTAGGAATTATTGGAGCATGCACTGATATCAAAAAGTATTTAAGCTTATGACCAGCAAATGCAAAACCAAATTTATTTTTACAAATTAATAAAGACTTGGAAGGTTGGTTAAATTAAATTTATTATTGTTATACATATTATATATATACACATATTAATTTATTATTTATAGAAATAAAAAAAGGAAATTGGTATACACATCTTCATATGGGTCGTGACTCACTATCCAAAGTTTTAAAGACGATTTGTGAATTAACTGGAATTGATTATACTAATCGGCGTATAGTCAATCATTCTTTGCGTAAAACTACTGCTCAAAAGCTTAATGATCATAATGTGGATCCTCAAGCAATAATGAATATTACACTTCATCGTTCTATGGTTGGACTTAATCGTTATAAAAAACAAAATGAAGAACAACATATTAAAGTAGTGAATATTGCTCTTCCTGCTATTAATAATATAATTATAATTTTTTTAATAATTTATTTTATTTAATTAAAATACTAACTACTATATATAATTGGTATTTAGGTTTTACCAAAACAAATACTGGTAAATGAAGAAGATTCTCAAAATGAAACATCAAGCTTTAACGAATCTAACATACAATTACAAGATTCTATTACAAATGTAATTTAATATATATTATTAATTTATTTATTTTACATTTTATAAACTAATGGCTTTTTTTCTAGATAGAAGTTAATACCGATCAAAATGAAACTTCTAAAATACCATTTAATGAAACAACTAACATTATTAGTTCTGATAATACATCAATTAAAAAGCGGTCTAGTGAACTTCAACTTGGTGAAAAAAGGGTGAAGCTTATAAATTGTAAAAATTTTACTATTAATTTTAATAATTAATATACTATTTTAAATTCATATGATTTGTAATTCGCTTATATAACATTACGCTTTATTAAAACAATTAATATTTGAAGTTAGTTAATAAATTTCTATATACCCTGATTACTATATGTCAATCGGAAAGTTCAAGTCACTTATGCATTGTATTCTTTGTTTACAATAGAATTTGAGTTCCACTTATACCTAATTGTTTGGGATATAACCATTACCAATTTTCTAGATATGACGTAAGCCAGTAAAAATAAGTTGATGACATTTATCAGTAGGAATAAGTACATAAAAAAAGTCATGTAGATGGGGTTGGCCAGGGGATATATAAACTCATTTTCTCCTTCTGAAGAACCAATGACACAAGTGAACACATTTTCTTCTGGAAGATCTATAAAACAAGTTCATATTACAGAAGCTGATAAAATAATAGATCTCCAAAAACTAATAATAAGCCATGATCTTACCAGAAACGCAAGTGAATATATGTTCTTCCTTTGAAGGACTAGCAAGACATATAAGCTCATATTCTTCTTCCAGAGAGCTAGCAGGGTTATATACTTCTTCTAAAGAAGCAATAGTGTAAGTAGACATATCTTTTTTTTGCATTTAAGCCTAATTTAGCTTAATAGTATATACTAGTTAGTTTGTTTTAGTTTAATAGTATATATCAGCTAGACTGTTTTAACTTAATAGTACATACCAGTTAATCATTTTAGCTTAATAGTATATACTAGAGTCTGTTAGAAAAAGGCTTTGGAACAGCCTAATTAAATAGCTTTGCGTTTGCTTAAATTGTGGAATGTGGGTAAGTTTGGTGTTACTTAAAAGTGTAGATTGTTGATAAACTTGGCATTTGTTTAAATATATGAGGGCTGTTTGTTTAAATATATAAGAGCTATTTGTTTAAATATATAGAGGTTGTTTGCTTAAAAGTGTAGGGTCGTTTGCTTAAAGGTGTGGGTCATTTGCTTAAAGATATAGAGAATGCTTACTTGAAGGTATGAGCTCGTTTGCTTAAAGGTACAGGGTGTGGCAAGTGCTTAAATTGCGAGTGTGAATTATATTCACTTTTGCTTAATTCTGGTAGTATAGCCTGCTTATTTGTATGAAATTGGGTGGTAAAATTCGAGAACCACTATTGAACTATTAAAAAAGAGCGTATTTACCAAGCGCAAGGTAATAAAAAGATTGTTCATTATCTATTATCATATGAGTGTAGTAATGTATTACGTATATGTATATGAATAATATGGTACAAGTAATATTAGGGTAATGGCATTAAATCATATATACGAAAAAAACTAAATTTCTTACTAAAATTAATATTTAAGATTTTATTAAAAAAATTAGAGTTTAAAAAATGAACGCAGACAAATTTGTCTGTGTTATAATTTAAGAAATATATAAGAAACCACTTTTGGTACTCTAACAAAAATTTTTGATAGCAATTTTACTATACAAACTACTTTTCTCTAGCCCATAATACTAACCTCAACTCTAATATGAACAAACTTTAAAGAATTTGTATTATGCTATAAATCTGGTATACAAGTAATACTATGATATAAATGAACTTTAAAAAATTTGTATTACATCATAAATCTGACATATATTCAAGTAATACCATAAGGGACATAACAAAAATCAGTTGATTTTTTAGAGAGAGAGAGAGAGTAAAAAATTTAAAATTATATATAAAAACCTGATCAAAATATATAGTAAGAGGAGGAGAAGGAGATAAATCTCTGATAAAAAAAAACAGATAATAAATGATACTGCCTTAACCAAATCCTATAATATTATATAAAAAGCTTTATAATATGATTCAGAGCTTTAATCTGACACTATTACTAAGACCCAATTCACTCTAATTACTTAGACCAAGTTTTTTCACAACTCAATCATTGTTTTACTAATATTAGGGTTTGATTGTACTAGTTGTAGTACTCTGGTTAGAGTAGTTTAGTTAGTTTTAGTAGTATATAGCATTTTTCTAACTTATATAATGCTCTACATACCTTGAGTAATTTAGCTAATCAAGCTAATCTATTATTACCAGTTTAAAAGTATAGTTGACTCTGAATATATTGAACTATATATTCTAAGAAATTTTGTTTGATATAGAGTAGAATCATTATATAGTTTATTTTTTTTATATTGAATAGTTTAATATACTGAGTAACCAATAAAACTATATATAGAATCACAATGGATCAATAATATCTTTGAAATTCTTGCTCTGGTTTGAGATCTTTCAGAATCAGTATTATATATAAACAAATAGTTCATTATATTAAAATATATATATGTTAGTCTGATAAAGAGGAGTTCGAATATAGTATATAAAAATTTACTATATAAGTTTAGTATAAGCAGCTTAAATTCTTATAAAAAATTATTTATGCTATATTTGGTTTGTTATAACTTGGGTTTGGTATAAGCAGGTTTGGTATATTCAAAATTAACTGTAAAAAATAATATTATAATATAATATTGCTATAATACAGTATATTAATTATATATTGTAATTTTTGTTAATTAAAATATGATTATATAACTATATATATATACACATAATAGTATTGTACGTTTTGACTATCCAAAGACTTTTTTGGTACTGTCCAATATCCAAATGTCCAAGTGTCCACAAGTGTCCAAAGCATATCTAAGCTTTAATAATTAATAAATTTGTTTAAAAAATATATAATTATATATTTTTTTATATGCTAAACATATTTTACTTAGAAATTAATATAGATTATCTTAATAAAATTTTGAGTAATTTTAATTAATTTAATTGTCTAAAATTGTTCAAAATGTCTAAACTTACTGTCCACAACTATCCTGTGACAATACTGCACATAGTGTACAAATAGAAATTGTTTTCTTTAATTTTCTTAAATAATTTTAAAATTTTTAAAAATTACAAAATTTATCTAATGATTTGCTAAATCAAAATTTGTAATTTTACTATTATTATAATTATAATAATCTTTACTACAATTTTTATTAACAATACAAATAAGAGTAATATAATAAACAAATTAGTTCTAATATAAAAATAGAAAATTGCTATTTCTACTATAGTAAATTGCTATTTCCACTATAGGTTATATGAAAAATATAAAAAATTCTATTTTTAAATAACCAATCAAATTTAAAAAATTAATTTTTTAATATTTAAAGAAGTTTTGTTTTAATAGTGATTAGATCATCAAAATTAGCTTTGTAGATCTCAAGATATTTGGGGTTAAAGGTGCAAATATAAAGATCTGCAAATTGATAGTTATACAAAGTACTAAAAACCATAAAACTTTGTGTAATTACTAATTTGCAGATCTCTATATTTGCATCTTTAACCCCAAATATCTTGAGATTTACCAAACCAATTTTAATGATCTAACTACTATTAAAATTAAAAAAATCTCTTCTACAACTTTACTTAGAAGCCCAAGAAACCCTAACTTAATAAAAACTTCTTTAACTTTGCAGATCCCTATATTTATATCTTTAACCTCAAATATCTTAGGATCTACCAAGCTAATTTTGATAATCTTACTACTATTAGAACTAGAAAAATTCTTTCTATAATATTACTTAGAAGCCCAATAGATCCTAATATAATAAATTTTTATTTAATTTTAAAAAAATTAATTTCTTAAATTTGATTAGTTATTTAAAAATAGAATTTTTTATATTTTTCATATAATCTATAGTGGAAATAGCAATTTTCTAAAAATATTATTAAAATAATTTTAAACAATTTTAAACAATTTTGAATAGTTTTAGATAGTTTTAGATATATTCAAAGCTGTCTAATTAAAAAATTTAATTAAACATATCTACATAGTTCTCATCACTACTTTATATATATACAGAATATTAAACAATTTTTATAATCTTTGCTTTTTATAGTATTTTCATTCTGCATTACTAGAAATGCTTTTGACTTTAATAAGACTAATTCTTTATCACTGACCATTCATATATTTACTACTTTCTCGCTACTTCCAACTTTGGTTATACTAAATACTTTCTCAAACAAGAATCTATATTTTTTTTCAGATAAGGATTTATTTACACAATCTATTAATCACTTTTTCAAGCAAGTATTCTACAAGTTAAATATAAAAATATATATTAGTATTGCCAAACCTAAAGATATAAGATATTGGTGGTTATAATAATAGTCGACCCACATATGGCGCAGAAAGTTTAAATAGATAACTCCCTAGTTGGGTTATAGGTATAGCATCTAGTGTAGAACTTAGTAATAAGCGGACTACTTA